CAGCCGCCAATCTGAATGCGGTGAGAGAGACCATGGACAGTGAGTTCCCGTTTCCTTCCCTTTACCGCGCCTGCGCTGCCGGAGCCAGGGCCCTTAGGTCCTCGTCCTTTCCCCCACGGCCTCTTGAGAGAACGCTGGAAAGAACTGGCGGACGGCCTCGCCCCTTGAGACTTTGCTCTTGCCTCGTGCGTAGTTTGGCGCGCGCGGGGCGTCGGGGCCCTCACGTCAGCCTGGCACGCGCCCGAGCCTGCGGACGGACCCTCGGCGGCCCCCCCCTCCCCGCGTGGGACTCCGCACCCCTCCTCTGTCTCCGTGCTCGCGCTCCTGCGGCGGACTCTGCAGCTTACAGCCCCCCCTACGCCACCCGACGGATCCCGCACGCCCAGACTCTTGTGTGCCACGATTTTCTTTCTTGGCTTTGACACTTAAAACCAAATTCACTGTCTTTTCCGACTCAGAGTACCCCAAAGGGGAGGGTAGATTTGCCCTTGTGGGCTTCTGAGGCTATAAGAGTAGAAAGCCTCATCTTTTGCCCGTGGGGCGGCTGGTAGTTTCGAACTGCTGGACCTTTGGGTTAGCAACCTTCTGGTTAGCAGCCCAACGAATAACCATTACGCCATAGTGGCCCCTTTTTGACATGAAAAGCTCTCACTCTGGTTCTCAACCTTCCTAATGCCGCGACCCTTTAATGCGGTTCCACATGTTGTGGTGACATAACTGTATAAGTTTGGTACTGTTATGAATCGTAATGTACATATCTGATATGCAGGATGTATTAGGCGACCCCAGGGGTTATGACCTGCAGGTTGAGAACCGTTGCTCTAAGTCATTGCCATCACATCGAAGCCGACTCATTAGCAACTCTGTAGGACTGGGTAGAACTGCCCCCTGTGAATTTTCCAACACTGTAACTCTTCACTGGAGTAGAAAGCCCATCTTTCTCTCGTGGAAGTAACTGGTCGTTTCCAAATGCTGATCTCCAGATCACAGTCCATTGGATAACCACGATGCCACCAGGGCCTGTCATCATCAGAAAGACTCCCTTCGGTCTGGATTGGGATGACGGCAGTGCCTGGTAGTTGTGAGAATTGTCACCACAAGGCACGTGGGTGTAAAGCCTGCACATGGTGGGTGGAAGAGCGTTCCGTAGACTCTTGGGGTTCCTTTGATCATGTAATAATGTACAGCTGCCCCTTGTTTCAATCCCTATAGTGAGCGTAGCCGTAGACAGTCTACTTAAACCAACTTGATCTTAAAGCCTTTCATGTAAGATGAGATTCTCCCTGGCTTAATTGTATCTGAGCAAGATGATTAGGTAAAGGCATAGCTAAGGTGATCAGTAAAGGTTAGGGATTCCATTTGTATTTATTGAATGTTCACGCCACCTGAAGATTCCTTTCCTTGTCTCTATAGACACCCATGTATGTATGAGTGTGTGTGTGTGTGTGTGTGTGTGTGGGCAGTTTACATTTTTCTGTTTGCAGTCACTCCTCATTTTCAAGGGGATACCCCCGTGACCCTTTGTTTCTGCTGAACTGATAAGCCCATTGAGTCCTCACTAGGTGGTGTCAGCCAGCCTGCTATGAATGTGTCTTCTCTATGATAGGTCCAATAAAAGGAAACCCTTCACCAACGAGCCCAGTCCACATAGCAGCCCTATGCATAGTTTTCAGAAGGTAGCTGACAGACTTATTTTTCTCCCAGGGAGTACCTGGTGGGTTTGAACCTACCACATTTTGCTTACTAGTCTGAGGCAGCACCACCCAGGCTCTATACTGTGATATAGCTCCCTTATTTCATTCATGAGCTTTTTGAAACCTGTTAGATAACACCACTGTCTTGTATCTTTAGCTGCAAGTGAACTTGCCTTTGAAACAAAGGTGACCTCACTTCTAACCATTTTATGTTAGCTCTGCTTAGGTTCATTATTATTGTGGCCACAGAATTCCATTTGAATAGAAACGTGCATTTTCTGTGATGGAACTTCTCAAGTGCAAATAAGAATTACTCATTTGTATTCTTTGCTGAGAGACCTTTGTGTAGATATTATAAAGAGTGTTACTGTGGGGAAAAGAAATACCTTAAAGTTTGGAAGAAAGGATGCGTGGATTAGAGAATAGCACTCCTATGCATGGAGGTTCAAGTCCATCCTGACGGACGCTGATGAAAAGCTGCCTGGACTTCAGCCATGAAAACCCACAGAGCAGTCCCACCCTGTCATGCATGGAGCCACCTGAGTTGTAATTGACTCCACAGCAGCTCGGTTTTCATTTAGTTGGAGTTTTTTGTTGTTTTGTTTGTGTGTTTTTGGCTTTGGTGAACAGCAGTTTATTTTCTCAGCCTGAAAGCCAGAAGCCCAGTTCAAGGTAGGACCAGCTCTACCAGAAGACTTTCTCTGTCGACTGCCTTTTAGGCAACTGAGGCTTTGTTTTGCAACTCCACTACACTCTTTATACTCAAGAGGTAGAACGCAAGGCACTGGGTTGTAGTTGTCAATTACAGTGTACAAGTTATTTAATGTGGCTTTTCTAGCCGTTGTCTTTGTAACTCCCACAAAACAACCTTTTCCTGATGTGTCTGGGTAAGAAAAGGTAGAAAAAGACACTGATGGGATTCAATTGTGTGTAGTTGCTAACAGGGTTGATTGTGATTACCTTCCTACTGAATTTAAATGAACCATCTCAGAAGGAGGAAAGAGGGCTGTTACCACCAGCAAAAGAGAAGAGCCAGCAGTGGAGCCTGTCCTTTGGTCCTGTGCTTTGAACCTCCTTGATCTAGGAGACAGCTCTGACATCTGAGGAGCAGCAACCAGAGCCATGAGATAGAGCATTGCACGTGTCTGCCTACAGAGCAAGTAAAGCTGAGTGCTTCAGGGCAGGAAACTGGCTATGGAGTGCTCTGGGCACTTCATTGGGGGGAGCAAGGATTGCTGACTCCTGGAATTGGAGTTGAGTGTCTTTGGGTTGAGTCTTACTACAGAATGGCATGCCCTTTGGGCATTTATTGCCAGCTATAAAAATTTTGTAACATTGCCTGAGCAGAGGTCAAGCCTAGTGGCTAAGAGGGCCAGAGAGACCTATCTGTGGGGTTGGCAGAAATGGTCCTGCCAACTGAACAATAGTCCTTGCTGCCACCATCAGTGGAATTGCTCATGCCAGAAGAAAATCTGAGCAATGGCCTGGCTTACTCACCTCTCCTACCTCTTCTGCTTTCCTCAGCCCTTGGCACTCTGCACTCAACCTGGAACGCTTGTCATGCCACCTACCACTGCAGTTACCTAACTGGACTCTGTTTGCTCTGGCTGTTTTCAGGATTCATTCTAAATCAGATAACCCAGGTCTTTTTTAATGGCATACCGATCTAGTCACAGTCTTGGTGTAAATCTTCCAGTAGGTTCGCAAAGTTTCGAAATCTTCAGCAGGGTAGGGGTGGATTTTCATTTACCCCCTTAGTTTTACAACTTTCACACTAGGCATTCAGATCTGTGAATTTACAAGTTCCTTGTATCTGAACCTGCGCACAAACTCATCTCTTTCCTCTTAGCTCCTGCCTGTCCATTGGTCTGATTACTTTCTGTTTACCCTTAAAATCTAAGCTTAATTTCCCTTGTTCAGGCAAGTCTTGTAAACTCCAAAACTAGGTTAGATGAGTTTGTAGATATTTTTATGAAGTATGCTATTTATTTATAACTCGAATCATCTTGTGTTTTCTTGTTGGTTTTTACTATCTCCCCTTAGATTGTAATGTGAGGAATGTGACCATACCTGTTTTGTTTACCACTAAATTTCCAGCGGCAGCATTGCAAGTACAAAATGCTTGGTAAAGTGGGAGAGGCAGCGAAAAAGAGGACAGCCTTCCACAAGGTGGATCACTGGCTACAACAGTGGGCTACAATTGTGAGGATGGTCCAGGGCCAGGTGCTGTTTCTCTTGTACCTTGATCTCTATGAGTCAGAACCAACTTGACCCTTAACAACAACAGCAACTAACTACACAATTGGCACTGTAAAAACTAAGTATTGACTACACAGACAGTTTAGGGAGTAAAGATCAATATGTATTTAAAAGGAAAGTTTAAAAGAAGGAAAATGTACCAGACCCGAGGTACCTGAAAGACAACATTGGGGCTGTGGGGAATCATTATATATGTGTGTTCTTGAAAGAAGTACAGTCAGAATGCTCCTTAGAAACAAGGGTGGTGAGACGTCATCTCACTGACTCTGGGCATGTTATCAGGAGAGACCATTCCCTGGAGAAGGACATCATGCTTGGTAAAGTAGATGGGGAGTGATAAAGAGGAAGACACTCGACAAGATGGCTTGACACAGTGGCTGCAACAATTGTGAAGATGGTGCAGTACCAGGCAGTATTTGTTCTGTTGTACGTCAGGTCACTATGAGTCAGAATTGAGTCTGTGGCACCTAACAACAAATTGCGTGTGTGTTTTTAAACAAAATAGATCATAGAATAAAAGGCAGAGCCAAATAAGCATGAAGAAAGCCAGTCATTCAGCAGTAATTAGAATATTTACAGGTAGGGGCTATAACGAGCCTCTAGGCAGGAAACTCAGCGGGAGGGAAAGGAGAACCTAACTAGTCAGGAGTTGAGGATGAAGATGATAATCTGTTGAAGAGTTTGGGGTCGGGATGTGTGTTGAAGATATCTGTTGCCCACTACCCCTGATTTAGTGGCATAAAACAACAAGAGTGACTATAGTTTTGTGATTCTGGGTGTTAACCTTATTCGTCTAGGTCGGTGTCATTGAAGTTCTCTCATACATTGCAATTTGACAGTGGCTGAGTATGGAGGCATCTCAAGATTCTCCCCTTGCATATCTGCTCCCTGATTTGGGACCTCAGCAGAGAGTTGTTTGAAGCATGCTATGTGGATTTTCTTACATTAATGGCTGGGTTCCCAAGGGAGTGTCTTGAAAGAGCCAGATAGGACACTATATGCACTTTCTAGTCTACTCCAGAAGTCATGTGGTGTCACTGTTGAGAGAAGTAGTCAGCATGGGCCTTGAATGTCCCTGCACTTGTT